CTACTGAAAAAAATTACTTAAAATTTTTGCCTTTTATAATTCAGTAACTCCCCTCCCCCCATTACCCTAAATTACAGGATTTTCACAAGGGGTGGCGTTGAAAAATTTTCCGCTCCTTAGGGGGGCGGCAGCTTCAAAAAGGTTGGGAATCACTGATCTAGATGTTAGATAACATAAAATCAACTGCAATGTGTATTGATTTTATCTCAAAAAAAGATGTGGCTTATCTAGTTACATTAGGGGTAGTATGAACTTTTGTATGTTCTCAGTCTTGGTTTGCTTATTGCTTATAAGCACATCTTCTTCCCTTCCAGCCTGCCTGCTGAAGGGACTTGAAAGACTTTCCAATTAAAGTTCAACTGTTGCTTTGTTCTCCGTGGCTTTAATCCAGAAACAATCTTGTTAACCCTAGTATGTGTTGTTTCTCCAGTGATCTTTGTTCCTTCTTTCAGCAACATGAAAAAGGTAGCAATACAACTGGAGCAATTATGCTAACGAGTTGAGCCATATGAGCTGTGCAGTGACCCACATTTGATGGGCAAAATGTGATTTGGAGGGTGTAGAAGCGTGCACAGAGCATCGGTTGGAAACACTTTAAATCCAATGCATCTTTTCTCAAGATTGTACCCTGTAGCTTCAGGGGACACCCCCAACAGATGCTGAATGCACAGTCCTGCGCACAAGAAACCCCATTTTCTTCTGTGACTTTAGATTGCTGCACAGTCCTATTGAAGAGCTGGGAAGCCCTGAGTTTTTACTCTCTCTCTGTACATGAATGAATATCAAGCAGCTTTACTTTCTTTAGAGTGAAAAGCAGGAATTCATTCTGACCGTAGGGAACTATACATACACTATAACAGGGGTAGACTGCCTATACCCATTATGTGTGGCATGGATTCCATCAACAGTTGCAAGTCCCTTAAAAACTGTTTAAAGCTTTTGCTTTAAATTCTTTTCCTGTAAAGAATTATTAATGGCAACTTCTTTCCCTAATGTTCTGCTGAAAAGGAGAGAAAATCTGCCAGTTGCACCAGTTCTTGTCTCTTCTGTTTTAGAGTAAAGGAGCAAAACAATTACTAAGATACAGTTACAAAACTATTCTAACAACAGGCCAGATGCCCTTTTTTTTTACATTAGGCACATGTTATCTCCAATGAGAGCAGGGATGCCCGTAAGGTATGTGTGTGTCAGAAAAGTCAAGATGGTGGCCATGGTGGTGCAATCAAAGCCTGGCTCCTTTTTTATGTGCAATGCACATCTTGACTGTTTTGACCACACCCTGCAGACACCCCTTAAATGAGAGCTTTCTACTCACTGAATTTTTGAATATTCACAATCTCTTCAAAAATACGTTACTCCTGGAGTTGAATTCTTCAGTGGTATAATTTTGCCTTGGAACAAGGAGGTTCCAAGCATCGTCTAGCAGAGTTTGCGTTTCCTTAGAGGTGAACCTTTCCCACTGATTTTGTAAGGTTTTTCCATTGTGTGGCCAGTCTTTTATCTGCAGTATAGTGGAACACAGCTGCGCAGTTCAAGTTTTCTTCTCTTTGCGATTCTTCACCAAATTGTACACAAAGATAAGTCATGATTGTTTGAATAGGGCCACTCTACCAGAGCTGCAATGATGCAAATTACCACTAGATGGTAGCAGAGTGATATCCCCCCCCACCACCACTCCCCACCCCTCAACTTCTTTTTGGTGTTTGGTTCCCTCAGTTCTCCTGCATGCATCAGCAACAATGTCTTGTGTTCTTCGGCCTTTTCTTCTCAAGCCATCTTGACTGGCATCTCCCTTTCCAAGTAAGGCTGTAATCTGCACTGAATGATGCTAAGCATTATTTTGCTAGCATGTGGAAATAAGGTAATGATGATAGATAGATGATAGATAGGACAATAGATTAGATAGATAGATAGATAGATAGATAGATAGATAGATAGATAGATAGATAGATAGATAGATAGATAGATAGATAGATACGGCGATAGATGATATAGATAGATATAGATGACAATGATAGATAGTACAATAGATTAGAGAGAGAGAGAGAGATGAGATAGATGATAGATAGATAGATAGATAGATAGATAGATAGATAGATAGATAGATAGATAGATAGATGATAAGGATTCTTCTTAACTTAAGATAGCACTTCGTTTATGTACAGTATTTATATCAAATGGGTCTAAATGCCACAGGATTTACTACAAGAAATTAACATAATTACTTGTCTGAGAAACTGAGGAGTGGGTTGTTTCTTTGGCTCATAGGGAATAGGTCCAAAAACCCCTCTCCCATCTTTTCCTGGAAAATGAAAATAAAGGAAGATGGGATCTCCATCTTCCTTTAAAAAGATGGGAATCCCAAGCAAAACATCTTTACGATTGGATAGAACCGCTTGAGGAGTTGCCTGGAGGTTCGGAGGAGGAGTGGAGGGTTTGGAGATGTTTAAATAGACTGCTCACTGGCTTGGGTGGAACTAAAGATCAAATGGAAAAATTGAGTTTTTTTTCCTGAGGACAAGGATATTTACTGTGAATGTGGCGCTATTCAAACAACTGTCCATCTTTTACAGTGCCCTTTGGGACCGACATGCACACAGAATGACTTGCTGGTTGGAAATATCTTTGCCATTAATGTGGCCCGACATTGGGCAAGAATTATATAAATCTATATTTTTATTAAAGTTTTTTAATTTTTAAAATTTAGATTAATAATTATCTCCTTTCTAGTTCCTGCATTTCTGACACGAGAAGAGATGAGATCTTTTCCTCGGGTAATTTAAGAACATAGCACCCCAGAATGGTCTCTCACAAATTTGGGGTATTTAGATGGTAAAAACAAAAGCTTCTTGGCACCGAGCAGGAGCAGGTTAAGGTGTACATACCATTTGACATATACATATACATCTGTGTACATGTGTACATGTATGTTAAGGCAGTGTTGTTAGCTGAGAGTATCGCTCTCTCCTTCTTCTTCATTTTACAGATGAAGTAGCCTGCATCATTCCAGATGAATGCAAGCAAATATGTGGTACAGAGGTTGGGTGTTCCAACATTGCCTATCCAAAACTGGTTGTGTCTCTCATGCCAAATGGTAAGAATGAGATTATTTCCTTCCTGACCCCAGTGCATTCGCTTTGGCCAACGGGTGGTGGTGGTGGCAGCTTGTAAGAGCTCCTCTGCTTGGGGACCATCTGCAAAATCAGATGACTTGTCCAGCTAATTGGGACTGTCAACAATAATTGGCAGAGTATCATGGAGAAGTTTTTCCAGTCCTCCTACAGATAGTAGGAATTGAATCTGGGACTCTACCACTGAATTGGAGGTCCCAGCTCTGCTGTGACTTCAACCAGATTTCTCTGCATGGCACGAGTGATGCTGAATGCCTAGTAATTCATCCCTTGTTCCTTCCTGTGATGCTTTATTCTGGCAGGCCTCCGGGGACTGATGCTGGCTGTTATGCTGGCCGCTCTCATGAGCTCACTTGCCTCCATCTTCAACAGCAGTGGCACCCTCTTCACCATGGACATCTACAAACGCTTGAGGCCACAAGCGAATGACAAGGAGCTATTGATTGTGGGCCGGTAAGAAAGAGATCTGGGCCACCCCATATTCAAAATTCAAATATCCCTTGCTATCCAAAACCAACCACTGGCATCTCATTAGTCTTCCTCCACCTGGTGCCCTGGGACTATACAGTAGTTCTTACCATGCTCAGCGAGATGCGGGAAGATTGGTGATACCAACCAATTTAAGTGTTTAACTCAAAGGATGGCAACGTTTTCAAATGGTGAGAGGAGTTGTGCACTTAGGGGGGGTACCAAAACATAAATTTTTTTTTTTTTAATTACAGCAATTTGGAATTGTTGCAAGAGGTTAATATTCTCACTTGGAATGTCATAAGAACTAATGCACAACCCCTGAAATCTTGCAACGTTGAGCAAATTCATGAGATTTCAGCCATTTTTTCTTTTCTTTAATTCTGGAAGTTCGCAGGCATCAGCTAGGATTGCTAACAATACTCACCGGCATCATACCGCTATAAATACTGCCAATTCCCAAATTTGTCCACTTCTCTGATATTTTTTGCCAGCATTGTCCTTAGAGCTCGCCTATACAATCAGATAAGTGAATTTCATGTGGAAGTGAGTACACCCATGGAAACCCTTTCCCACCCCCAAATAAACACCACTCTGCAAGCATGTCCCTGTATCTCAGCCCAGACATTACATTCTCATGTTGCTATTCTTCTCTACAGGGTGTGGATTTTGCTACTTGTGGGGGTCAGCATTGCGTGGATCCCTGTGATACAAGCTGCACAGGGTGGGCAGCTCTTTGACTACATCCAGTCCATCAGCAGTTACCTGGCCCCACCCATTGCTGCCATTTTTCTCCTTGGAGTCTTTGTCAAAAGAGTGAATGAGGAGGTGAGCAAGTTTAAAAAAAGACACAACCAACCACATTTACATACATACTCCATGTAAGGGATGGAACTCATGGAGGGGTACCCCAAGCCCTCAAAATAGAGGAAACGAGTACCAGAATTTCAACCCCAGCTAGGATGGTAGCATCTAAATCATCTTATCTATCCTCAAAATCTGTCTTAAGCAAATTTGGACCTTACAGAGAGTTAAATAAGAGACCAACAAGAGATTCCAGAAACTAGGAAGTTGAAAAAAACAATATCCCAAAGAAGACAGAGGAAAACCACTTCTGCCATGTGCCAAGTAAGTCATCAAGATGTCTGGAGGTTGAGTCATGGCAACTGGAAATCTTTTCTTTTTTGTTAGAGACGTTTCGCTACTTGTCCAAGAAGCTGCTTGG